AACAAACCTGCTCGGCAGCAGGCTCAATTCATATAAACAGTTTAGATTAGATTAGATCGGCTCAGTTCATGCAAAGAAAATACTGAAAGTATGTACCAAATGCTGATATGTTCTTACAGTAGTAGTTATATAAACTTGGGAAAATAGTAACTATTTTATATATATATATATATATATATATATATATATGAACAATATCACACGAGTAGCAGTGCGATATGGCTGTATATCAGCAATGGTGGAAGACGTGCGTTGCCTTAGTGCCCCCACCAGTGCCAATATCCATATCGCACTGCTACGAGTGTGATATTGCGTTTATACAACAGTTTGACAGCATAATTGTGTATATAAAAACAAAATGAAACAAGGAGAGTTTCAAAAACCCTTTTTTATGTGGAACTACTTTCTTCCTCAGTGGATTCAAATCATAAGCTGACAGTTAAAACATTTGAGCAAGCATCTTTAGAACTTTAGACCTGTAGTGTCTGCTTTTTGCTGGCTGTATGTGGGCGGAGTAATACACAAAGGGTAAAGAGGCTGTAGGAGTTCTGATATTGCAGAATATCGCACGGCTATCAGCCAATCAGAATTGAGAACCAGACAGAACTTTTGTGTGTATATATATATATATATATGTATATATATATTAATAAAATTTGCAATCTGCACCCCTGAAATGAAAGTACAAAGACTGCCACCTGGTGGTGCAAAGAGAAAACTTATTGATATAAACTTTTTTCCAATCATATTTTTGTCTTCCGTCAAATAAAATAGCAGACTTTCTCAAATCGCTCGCTCCACGAAAAATATGCATTTATCTAATGCCCCGTTGTTATTATAATCACAAAACCTTTTTACATTTTTAATAGAAATCATTATTTTAAAGATTATGTCTTGCTATATGGTTTCCTTTCTTTCCCTCACTGTTTAAGTGCGCGCGCTCCGTGATGAAAAGACATATGTTGACTTTTTGTAAACAGTTTTGTTGTTTAAATATGATATGGCATTAATGTGCATACATGCTTTATAAGCTGTAAAATAAAAGGTCAAGCCTATTTGTTGCGTTTATGATGCAGATCCAGGTCAACATCAGCGCTTTTTTGGCATCAACACGTTTCAAACAGCAATATTTTTCTTCCATTTTGTTTCTTTGGCAAATCTGTCTGTAGCCACGGGTTATACGTTATCGCCCCGCAAGTTAGGTATGTCTTGCAGTTAAACAAGCACCACCGCTAACATGCTTTTTTCATTCCAAAAACACGAGGCGCACCTCACTGCCTTTATGTTGACAAGGAAAAAAGAAGAGAAGAAGCGCGGTCCTCTTATGAAATGACTGAATCAGCTGGGTATCGACAGTGCAAAAGTGTTGCTGTCTATGATGTTACAATTGTAATATTTAATAATATTGTGATATTAAAGATTTTTACATTCATACAGCTCTGGATAACTTAAAACAGCGATTAGACCATCAGAGCGGTGTTAATGCGTCCTGAAGTAAAGTGAAACGGCTATAAACTCCAGCAAGATAAAGTGATTATATGCAGAGTCATACTTTATCTATAAATAAAGTATAACTATAGAAACTGTGTTCATCTTAACTGAAAGCTTCGGCGTGCTTGCTGGCCTTACGCATCGTGCACCTGTCAGTCAGTCAGTCAGCACGTAACCCCAAAGGATTAAACAGATAGCGCACAGCACTATACGGCGACAGAAAAGTTTGCGCTGTTATAATCTACTTACCTTTTAATACATTTTGATGCGATTATAATCCGCTATTAAAAACAACAACAACAATAACTGGTCCCCGCCATGGAAGAATGAATGTAACGGAAACCATGCTCTTTAAAAGTTCTCTCTAGTTGTCTTGACAACACAAACTGCTGCTCTGGGATGAGTCGCTTGCAAAAGATGCCCCTCTTAACGCAAAGGCGCATTCAATCGGCCCCTTATGCAGTCAAACTAAAAATATATAAAATAATAATTTTAATCGTTTAACTGATAGCATTAATCGGTCACAAACGCACCCTTTCTTATCTTTTATTCTTTACACCGATTAAAAAAACAGTTACTATAATAAAGAAAATCTTTTCTAAATGTAGAATTAAATACACTGATATGCATTGAAATACATGATGAATACTCGACACATGAAAGTGTAAAGCCTGCAGCCCACAACAAATGTGGAAGGTTATTGCGTGTCGTATTTTACAAACCGTTTACTGCTAATTTGATGCAATTTTGCTCACATGGATAATTGAATATTAATCAGATGATGTCATTACGCTGCTGTGCCGTCAGCCAATCATTGCATTGCTGATCAGGATTTCGAGGATCGATAGGTCTGTCCTTCACAACACACGCAGCGATTTCAGATCAGTTTATCCAGACATTCTAATCTGATTCGTGAACTTGTTTGAAGAACCAAATTAGTGAGAGATCAGTTATCGAGATGAAAAGATCTAGGATCTGCCAAATCATCTTAGATCATTTAAGCGAGGTACGAAGGACAGACCCCAGGTCTAATCAATTACAAAAGTAATCATCAACAGTGTCCATGGCTTCTGCTACATTCATTCTTCCATGGCGGGGAATCAAAATTCATCCTGCCACAGCTACATTACAGCTTCTTATTCAAAATATTCAGTCGTTTTTTAAAATAGCGGGTTAAAATCGCACCGAAAACGTATTAAAAGTTAAATGAATTATAACAGCGTAAACTTTTCTGTGACCGTAGTAGTGCTGTACGTTCTGTTTAACCCTTTGAGGCGACGTGCTGACTGACAGGTGCATGATGTGTGAGGCCAGCAAACACAGCGTAGCTTTCAGTTTTGATGAACTGTTTCCATACTTATACTTTATTTATAGATAAAGGTCTGTGGCTCTGCATATAATGATCGTTTCACTTTACTTCAGGACCCATTAATGGCGCGGTCCGCTCCGCAAGTCTATCAGAGACATTCATAAATATTCCTAGCAAATCTAATAAATGCTGGAGACATACTCTGTACATAAACGCACTAAATAACACTTCAGCCGTGTTTATTTGAAGGCGCGCAAGAAAATCTGCACTTGAGCAGCGTATATTTGTCAATAAAATAGCGCCACATATAGTGATAGATCTGTGTAAAATGCCCAACAAAGTCTGCCGCCACAGCTGGAAAAAATCCTAGAGGAAACACTGGTGTCACATTTGTATTTGCTAAGATCTATCACAATGTTGCGCTTGTCATATGTGTTTATTGTTTTCTGATGAAAGTTTCAATTTACACATGGTTGCAGTGAGTCGGCAATGTTGCTCTAATATTACATAGCCTATTTGACCTAAAACTTTTCACTGAGCTCGGTAAATTGTTCTTTGATAAGTTATTAATAATCTGTTCAATAATTCTTTAATGCCAAACCGAATGGTAAAATACAGGTTGTAATTTAATGTAAGCTAGTTTAAATAAATAAATAAAATATTTTATTTATATAGCCTATATAAATAAATATAGGCCTAACATATTTTTAAATTAAATAAATAGGTTATTTTCTGAAAAATGCACATGTCCGTGTTCAGAGCTTGACATTAACTTTTTTGATCACCAGCCACTGTGGCTAGTAGATTTCCAAGATTACTAGCCATTTTCACTAGCCACACTTTTCTTGTGGGGAAAATGTATTTTATATGCATAAATTTGACGTTAACATGCTAAAATGACTTGATAGATGTTCTGTTATGTTCACATGCCTTCTCATTCATTTAACTTCTTGTGTGTATTGTGTATGAGCTTGATCAGTGTGCATGAGCAAATCCGTTGTGTCACAATGGAACCAGTTTTATTTCACACGACTTTTCAGGGCTCAAAAGTTAAAATTTACCAAATTTATCTCTGATCACACCAAATAAGTATTTCTTAGCCACAAATTTTTATGTGTAAAAACAAGGAAAATATAGCGTTATAGGTGCACTTTTTAATTAAAAAAAAAACTTTTCTTTAAAAAACATTACATTTAAAAAGAATTATTGTCATGTGTCTAAAATATGCACAGTAATTGGTCCAGGCTAAAAGTCCCAGATAACCAGTGAACTACACATAAACGGGGAGTAATCTCCCATTAAAGCAATCTTACCGTAAAAAAATATATAATTAAACCATATTAACAAAAATAACTTTAAGCGAAAGAAAGCAGGTGAAACATACCGTGTTTGATAATGAAAGGATGTTCAAGTACACACAGTTAATATAGGCCTTTTAATAATCTGTTCAAATAATAATAAAAATTCTAAACTATTAAATACATATAGTAGATATCTAATTATAAGCAAACTGTATAAAACAATTATATATATGGTGGGTGTCACGGTGACCGTCACAGCCCTGGTCTTAAGTATATATATAAAAAAATATCGCAATGTCAATTTTTTTTAATATATATATTTATAAGGGCTGCACGATATTGAAAAAAAATTGACATTGCGATATTTTTTTATATATATATTTAAGACCAGGGCTGTGACGGTCACTGTGACACCCACGTCACCGCCGTATATTATATATATATATATATATAATTGTTTTATACAGTTTGCTTATAATTAGATATCTACTATATGTATTTAATAGTTGAGAAATATATTATAAAGTTTGATTATATTAATTTGCGAGGCATTTTTACACTTTAAAGCTCATACATGCAGTTGCTAAAATAAAAAGGAAAAATAAATGAACAATATTTAATATTAAGCAATACTGGAAAAGAATGACTGCTCGTCCTGTATTCAGGATGTATTGATAAACTGCCACAAAAAAATTTAATACAAGTAGTAAGGACGCCGTCCCGTGGTTGCTGAATGTCACACGACAACGTTGCTACAGCCTTTTCACGTCTTATTTCTACGTTGTGACAATGTAGCGAGCACGTAAGCGCCAACGTTGACTTTAAAAAATACAACGTTCTGCAGACGTTGTGTGTTTGTTGGGAATAGAATCTGTATAGATCAGTGGATGTGCTCTCACCGGCTTTGAGCGCAGGTCTTCGGTTCACGCTGTTGTGTAGCACGGCATTCGCCCAGCCCAACAGTCCGAGCCACACTGAGTTTCTGTTGACGATCCCCGGGGGAGGCAACCCCTTCGCTTCATCAGGCACGAGTCCCATTTTCCCGAAAAACAGGTCTTATTCTGAGGTTAAAACCTTGAACTTTCTCTATCTCCTCATAAAAAACCAAGGGCAATGTTTAGGCGGAACTGAAAATCCGTCCGGTGTGAAACACACGACGAGTTTACAAGAGTTCCGGAAAGGGATTTCGGCTATGTCTAATCGAATCTATCACGCACGCACGCACACAGATACAGTATATTTTTGTCTGTCTGTCTGTCTGTCTGTCTGTCTGTCTGTCTGTCTTTTATTATTGTACATTAGTTAATTACAATTAAAGAAAAATCATCATAAACAAACGTTTTAAAGATAAACGTTTTAAAACAATAACAATGTTTAGTATGTTAAAAGCACATTTTAGATCAGCTTCATTTTGTCTCATAATAGCACAGTTGAGTACACTTAGATGTACTTAAGTTTATCTTAAAATGTACTTAATACAATTTTTTAGTACATTAAATACAAAATTAGTTTGGGAAAATAGAGCACTTTTAATAAGTATTTAGCACACTTTTTTTTACAATTTGAATATTCTTTTAATATATTATACTGTAATTTAGTCATAAATATATTTAAATGTTTAAAAGTAAGGTTCAAGTGTATTTCTAGTTGAAACTAAATATATATTTTTAAAATACAGATATAGTATGTTAAAAGCACATTTTAGTTCAATTTCAGTGTGTCTCAAAATAGCACTGTTGAGTGCACTTAGATGGTATTAAGTTTATCTTAACATATTCTTAATACTATCTTTTAGTACATTAAGAACAAAATTAGTGTGCGAAAATAGAGCACTTTTAGTACATTACTGAAAAGTGTACTAAGCATACTTAAATAAAGTGTATTTTAGCACACTGCTTTCACATTTTGTATATTCTTTTAATATATTACTATTATGCTTTAAGCTATTCTTAAATGTATTCATAAATGTTTAAGATTAGGGTTTAAGTGTATTTCTAGTTGTAACTAAATATATATTTTTAAAATACAGATATAGTATGTTAAAAGCACATTTTAGTTCAATTTCAGTGTGTCTCAAAATAGCACAGTTGAGAGCACTTAGATGGTATTAAGTTTATCTCAACATATACTTAATACTATCTTTTAGTACATTAAGTACAAAATTAGTGTGCGAAAATAGAGCACTTTTAGTACATTACTGAAAAGTGTACTAAGTATACTTAAATAAGTGTATTTTAGTGCACTTTTTTCACCTAAGTATACAGGGAGGTAAATAAGTGTTTGATCACCCTGTGATTTTTCAATATCTACTAATTAGAAATCATGGAGGGGTCTATAAATTTCACTATTTCCACTTTCAGAGACAGAATGTCACGTTAGGCGTGATCAAAACAATAGCAAAACGGGAACAAAAAGATTGTGGATTCAAGTGCAGATTTAATAGATATATAGTGCAGACAACAAATAAACAACAAAACAAGAAACGAGACAGATAAACACAAACTAGACTTTGGCAAACTACGAGGCAAGATCAGGAACAACAACAAACTTACTGGGAGCAAGAAGACAAGGAAGGCAAAGTAGACAAACAACGCGATGTTAAACAGAGGTGGAATGGTTGTATAAATAGTCCAGATAATCAACGATAGCACAGAACAGATGAGATGACGGGTCAGTGTAAGTGTTCCGGTGTATGCGCGTGGTATGTATGGGAATGTAGTTCCTTCCTGGGACGCTGTAGTGCCTACAAAGTCCTAGAGTACTACAGCGCCCTCAGGTGGTCACTGATGGATGTGACATTACCCCCCCTCTAAAGAGCGACTTCCAGACACTCCCAGACTGGTTCCAAGAGGGGGGGCGGAGCGGAGCAGGAACAAAGGGAGGGATGGGAGCGCCAGCTCAGTGTCAGTCTGTGGTTCAGGCGCCCTGGCAGGAAGCCAGGGTGCAGCCGGGGAATCCGTCCCATACAGTGGGAAGGACCACCAGGGAGGGGCGGGAGGGATGACCCATGGATGATCCCGCAGGAAACACAAGGCAGGAGTTCTTAGGAGAGCCGGCTGAAGAGGCAACTGGACAGGAGCCGGCGAAACTGGAGGTAGCTGGACTGGAGCCGGCGGGACTGGAGGCAGCTGGACTGGAGTCGGCAGAGCAAGGTGCCAGAGTGAGGTCGGCAGAGCAAGGAGCCGGACTGGGGCCGTCAGGGCAAGACGTCTGGGAGGTGCCGGCAGGGCAAGACGTCTGGATGGCGTTGGTAATGCCAGAAGCCAGGCTGGGACCGGCAGGGCGAGGAGCCTGGGCGGCGCCGGCAAGGCGAGGAGCCTGGCTGGCGCTGGTAAAGCCAGGAGCCGGACTGGAACTGGCATTGTACTGCGCTCTGGGGCTGGAGCCGACACTGGCGGGCGATCTGGGGCTGGACCCGACACTGGCGGGCGCTCTGGGGCTGGAGCCGACACTGGCGGGCGCTCTGAGGCTGGAGCCGACACTGGCGGACTTTCAGGGACAAGGGCAGTCCTCTTCCTGCGCCTCCTTCGTCTGGTGGTTTGAGAAGGGAGAGCGTTGTCATCAGGAGAGGAAGCTTGCTCTGGAGCTGGAGCCGACACTGGCGGGCATTGTGGGACTGGAGCAGACACTGGGGTTCCACACAGTTCTAGCAGACTCTCCAGAGGCTCACTGAAAGGTGGCCTTCGGACAGCCCGACGTGGATAAGGCCGCAACTCCAGTCCAGCCTCTCTCCTCCTTCCCTTAGACAAATTAGCTGGCCCCGAAAATATTCCTCTCTGTTGCCCTCCGCTCAGGCCTCCCTCCTGAGGGTTCTCCTCCCTCAGGGCAACAGAGAGAGGGGAGCCAGCGATCAACAAAGCTGCTTCAATGAAGTGGTAAAGGTTCCAGTCATCCTCGTATGGTGGCATGAGGGAACGAACTGGTTCCAAAAGTCCTCCCCCAAAAAACATCATTAGCAAAATATCACTATGAGAGCTCTTCTGGGCTAGCTCCAAAAACTCCTTGATATAACGCTCAACGGAGCGGTTACCCTGCTTAATACGCACTAATCTATCATCTGCTGAATCCATATTGTGATAGCGTCGTTCTGTCACGTTAGGCGTGATCAAAACAATAGCAAAGCGGGAACAAAAAGATTGTGGATTCAAGTGCAGATTTAATAGATATATAGTGCAGAAAACAGTGACAAAAATCCAAAATATCAAAATATAAAGTAACAAATAAACAACAAAACAAGAAACGAGACAGATAAACACGAACTAGACTTTGGCAAACTACGAGGCAAGATCAGGAACAACAACAAACTTCCTGGGAGCAAGAAGACAAGGAAGACAAAGTAGACAAACAACGCGATGTTAAACAGAGGTGGAATGGTTGTATAAATAGTCCAGATAATCAACGGTAACACAGAACAGATGAGATGACGAGTCAGTGTAAGTGTTCTGGTGTATGCGCGTGGTATGTATAGGAATGTAGTTCCTTTCTGGCATGCTGTAGTGCCTACAAAGTCCTAGAGTACTACAGCGCCCTCAGGTGGTCACTGATGGATGTGACACAGAATCTAAAAATAAAAATCCAGAAATCACATTGGATGATTTTTTAACAATTTATTTGTGAATTTGTGTGTCAAATAAGTATTTGATCACTTACTTTTCAGTCAGATTTCTTACTCTCAAAGACCTGTTATTTTGCTTTTAAATAGTTCAGCTACACTTTGCTTATAATTTTAATTTAGTAGCACCCGTTTGAGGTTGTTAGCAGTCATAAAGACACCTGTGCACTCCACAATCAGTCAAAAGTCTAAGTAGCAACATGGGCAAAACCAAAGAGCTGTCAAAAGAAATAAGAGACAAAATTGTAGACCTTCACAAAGCTGGAAAGGGCTACGGGACAATTGCCAAGCAGCTTGGTGAAAAAAGAACACCCGTTGGAGCAACTGTCAGAAAGCGGAAGAGGCTAATGATGACCGTCAATGTCCCTCAGACTGAGACCTCATGGAAGATCTTTCCTTGTGGGGTATCAATGATGCTAAGAATGGTCAAGAATCAGCCCAGAACTACACAGGAGGAGCTGATCAATGCCGTGAAGAGAGACTTTATTTAAGAGAGACCCACTAATTTACAAATAAATTGTTAAAAAAATCATACAATGCAATTTCTGGATTTTTATTTTTAGATTATGTCTCTCACATTGGGAAGGACCTATGGTGAAAATTCTAGGCCCCTCCATGATTTCTAAGTAGGAGATATTGAAAAATCACAGGGTGATCAAATACTTATTGACCTCACTGTATACACACACGCACACACATATATTCACACACACATATACACATACACACACATATATACACAAATATATATACACACACACATATATATGTATGTATATGTGTATAATAATGGTATATATAATGGTATATAATGTATGTATATATATAATGTATGTATATGAACTAAGTTTACATATTCTTACATGTTTTACATATTCATTTGATCAGTTAGCAGGCTTACATTCATTAGCAGTATTATTAGACATTTGTCATTAAAATAAAGTCAGTTATTATACCTGATGCTTATGTAGTGGGATCACCTGGTGTTATCACAAGTGATTTTTCTATTAGCCAATCGTATAACTCTTGGGTGTGTATATAAGGGAGGATTTGGGTGTGTGGCGTGTACTGAAGCACCGCTTGTGCGTCACTACCGGAGTCCCGCTGGTCCCGCCTCTGCCCCTTCCGTTCCTGCAGGTAGACATTGTTTTGCTTTCCCTTTAGCGTCGGGTTGCGTAGTGGGTTTTAACTGGCTGTATTTAACTTCTTAGCATCTGCGGATCAGATTGGCTGTAGCCTGTGTTGCTGTCACCCCAGCTGGATCGCTTTTGTAATTCCTGGGCTGTGGTTTAATCTACAACTGCGTCCGTGAGTGCGGGTTGCTAAGTGACTTGCATACTTGAGGTATGTACGTTACGCTTTTAATAATTATCCGCCGATCTGTCCAGCGACTTAATGTCTTGTCCTTTTTAGGAAGAATAACTGCGTGTGGGCACGCCGAGGGAGCAACATTAGTGATATTGCTGCTTTTTACGGACCGCTGTCTATTTACAGACCGGTGCTTTACAGACCACTGCTTTCTAGA